AAGCAGGTATATGGTCAATCCTGAGAAGGAACACTGGAAAGCTTGGAAGTGGATTCTGAGATACATAAAAGGATCATTGAGTAGGGTCCTGGTTTATAGTGGATCCATGAGTCATAGTGAAGCCGAAGTTGAAGGAATTGTTGACTCTGACTATGCAGAATGTATGGATACCAAAAAATCTCTTTCTAGATATGTTTTCACTATGCTTAGTGCATCAATCAGTTGGAAAGCTTCTCTTAAAAAGGTTGTTTCTTTATCAACCATTGAAGTTGAATATACTTCCCTCATGGAAGTTGTGAAAGAAGCATTGTGGCTTGAAGGGTTTGTTAAGGAACTAAAACTTCAAGGTCAGGTTATCACTGTTAAATGTGATAGTCAAAGTGTCATATATTTGTCGAAGAATTCAACCTATCATGGAAAAACAGAGCACGTTGATGTTAGGCTACATCTCGTCAGGCAGAAAATTGAAAGTGGAGAAGTCAAAGTGATGAAGATTTCAAAAAATCACGATGATGTAGATATGATCACCAAGTCACTTCCAAGTAGCAAGTTCTTCCATTGTATGCAGCTGATAAAGTTTCACGAGGAAAGCTAGTTTGTACCCTTAACGTTGTAGAGTTTGTTCCAAAATAGAGATTTGTGATATTTTGGGTCGAACTCTAGTCTCGATAGGGATAAGTTCATGTTTCGACAGAAGTTGTGCATGTTGTAGTCGATGTCTATTCAAGCATGCAAGATTCAAATATGTGTGTTGTAGTCAAAGCTTATTCTAGCATGCAGTTGTATAAGTTATCTTGTTGGTTAAGTTAGCTTGTAATCTATAAATAGATTGTTCATGTTGTTGAAAGGGGTTTAAGGTTGTTTGATATTTTCTTGTAAATAATTTTCCTTAATTATGAAAGTAAATAGTAAAACAGTTTAAACTAATTTTTGTTCTTTTTCTTTCCTCTTCTCCCTCTTTCGTAAATCTGATAGAGTTTTTTATGTTTATTCAAAAAATAATAATTTTTCTCATAGTTTTATTTGTTTCTAATACGACATTTATCACAATAGTGTTCATACTCAATTCAGCTCTATGTCAAATAAAGAATAACGAGATATTTAACTATAGATATGAAATTACAAGATTGATATCTCTACAATTGAAATGGTATCTTCCCTTATATCTAACATTACTGAAAAGGCGACAATACAAGACTTTACCCACTCACAATAAGGACTAGGTATTTTCCTTAAGAATGTGGACACAACTGCCAAAATTGCATATTTGAAAACCAATCTTCAACATGAATTCATCAAACTTTCTATACCACTACCTGAGACTTTGCTTTATAGCATGTGCAAAGACTTCACCGAAGTATATATACCTTCAAGCTGAAAAAATTAATTTGCAACAAATTTTTCTATGAACCTAACTATCACTTGACATTGAATTCCTTCCTTATTCTTGAATATCCATTTAGATCCAATTACTCTTTGCCTTTTAGGATTTTCAACCAAAATTTAGACTTTATTCTATTCTAGATATTTCATTTCCTCATTCATGGTTGTTAACCATCTTTACTTTTCAACATTATTAATTCTTCCTTTAAATTCCTTAGTTCATCCCTTTTGCTTCCTTCACTAGCATTAGATAAGTTGGCCATACCTTACAAGAGTTATGGCCGTTCCCCTTTCTATATCTCTTATCAGATTGTAATCAATTAAATACGTTTTTGTAACTAATAGTCTCACATTTTTTTAGAATCGAGATTAAAGATAGTTTATATTTTCAATACATGATTAACATTAATCTCTAATTTTTAGGGCGTTAATACAATATTTTCAAATGCCTATTTCAAAAGAAAACGAAGTTTGGCCCGTGAAGAGTATCGACAATAGCATGATGAGACTGTACACGTGTCTTGTTTCCGTGATTAGAAACCTTCACGAGAATGCAATAATATATTGTTAGTTCACATAGACACATTCAAACAAACTTCCGTGACCAATGTGGACCCCTCCAAACACTCCTATTGCCCACTCAATCTATATTGCCCTTACCACTTTCTCTTCTACACCTTAAAGTACAAACCTATAGTGAACCACTAAAAACTTCAATGCTAAAACAACCACACATTGAGTAGAAAATATATAATAAAATAGCTTCAAAATGGAAGGCAAAAGAAGGTGGCATCAAAAGTGCAAAATGGTCCTCATAGATATAATAACTATACAAGAACAAATGACCTAATTTCCAAGAATATATATATTTTGTCACATGATGAAACAAACTACATTAGGGAAGTTAATAATGCAAGCAATAAATTTTTCACTTCCCAAAATGTCTCCTATTAGATAATTTAAGCTAAAAAAAATGACTAGAACTTAAAGTGGAAAAATGCATTATTTGACTTGTAGACTAAACCAAGTTAACAAATTCCAACCAAAGTGTAGTAGTTTGGTCCAGTAAATTCTGTTTAATCTTAACCAATTAAATGCAACTTTATCACATTCCTGTAAATGTTATCACATGACAGAATAAGAAATATATAATTTTTGGTTGAGTGGGTGGAATGAGGAGAGAAAAGTATAATGCTTAATAGTCACTACCAATATATATATACACATAGACCTATACATGTATCTATAGCTCAACATTGTTTAATTCTTCTCATCTTTCTTTCCTATGGATGTGTTATTGTTGTTACTGCCTCTATTGGTGTCTTTGTCTTTGCCAAGCTTGAATGTAGTCGAGAGCCGAAAAACACCGGCTGTAGAACACTATGTTGAGTACTGTGCTGCGAACTGCAGAGCTTACAGTGCCTCAGTGACGGAGTTTGGAGCGGTTGGTGATGGACAAACTTCGAACACACGAGCTTTCCAGACAGCCGTGGATCATCTGAGTCAGTACTCGGCGAACGGCGGGTCTCAACTTTATGTTCCACCGGGAAGATGGTTGACTGGTAGCTTCAATCTCACCAGTCATTTCACTTTGTTCCTACACAAAGATGCTGTCATTCTCGCCTCTCAGGTTTGATTATACCTTAACTAGTCTTGCACATCTATATGAATATGCAAATGTAATGTAATTGAAGTGCTTTGAATGTTGATATTATGTTTGTGATGTGTTGTGTTAGGATGAAAGTGAGTGGCCGGTGATCGAGCCCTTACCGTCTTATGGTCGAGGGAGGGACACTCAAGGCGGAAGGTATAGCAGTCTAATTTTCGGAACCAACCTCACTGATGTAGTCATAACAGGTAACTTTTGAGATATCGCCAACAGTACAATCCGGTTATGATTTTGGGATTAATCTAAAATTTGGTTTCGTTAACTATGAATTCGAATAGGGGACAATGGAACATTAGATGGACAAGGTGAAGTGTGGTGGCAAAAGTTTCATAAGGGGGAGCTTAGTTATACCAGGCCTTACCTGATTGAAATCATGCACTCAGATGATATTCAGATATCAAATCTCACTCTGGTTAATTCTCCATCCTGGAATGTTCATCCTGTTTACAGCAGGTTCGTCGTTTTCTCTTTGCGGTGTTTATCATCAATCTACTGCATTATTGTTCCGAGTTTTCTAATATAAAGAAATTGAATGCAGCAACATTGTTGTTCGAGGCATCACGATTCTCGCTCCGGTGAATTCACCAAATACAGATGGGATCAACCCTGGTAAGTTAAGTTAGTATATACGTCTTTTCGAAGATGCTGCGATGTATAGTCTAGTATATCCGCGACTGATTATGGTTTATGACGCAGACTCTTGCACGAACACGCGGATTGAGGACTGTTATATAGTGTCAGGGGATGACTGTGTGGCTGTGAAGAGTGGTTGGGATGAGTATGGTATAGCTTATGGAATGCCGACTAAGCAGCTGGTAATAAGAAGGCTCACTTGTATTTCTCCAACGAGTGCTGTGATTGCTTTAGGGAGCGAAATGTCGGGTGGTATTGAAGATGTAAAGGCTGAGGACATTCTGGCGATCAATTCTGAATCGGGAGTTCGGATCAAAACTGCTGTTGGAAGAGGAGGATACGTCAGGGACATTTATGTTAGAAGGATGACCATGAAAACCATGAAATGGGTATTTTGGATGACAGGAGATTATGGCTCTCATGCCGATAACAACTACGATCCTAACGCGATTCCTGTGATTCAGAATATTAATTACCGCGATATGGTTGCTGAAAACGTGACTATGGCTGCAAAGTTGGAAGGTATATCTAATGCACCGTTTACCGGAATCTGCATATCCAATGTTACCATTGGACTAGCAAAGAAGGCGAAAAAATTGCCGTGGAATTGCACCGATATCGCCGGGGTTTCAAGTGGCGTCACTCCTGTGCCGTGTGGCCTGTTGCCAGACCAAGGAGTAGAGGATGTTGCGGCATGCACCTTCCCAGAAGGAAGTTTGCCTATCGAAGAAGACGTCGAGGTTCAAACATGTACTTATAGAATAAATTTGTGATGATAGTATAGAAAGAAATGACTCAATTTCAAGGGAACAATCCAAACAATGTAATACTTCCAAAAACTGTTTCTTTGAGACTTTTTACAGATTTTCTGTTAGTCCTTTTCTATAATGCTAAATAAATTACTTATCCAAACTCATCAAATTTAGCAATGAAACAAGGAGAAGGAAGAAATCTTCATATCTAACAAATGTTACCAGATACATAATTGAAACTTAAAAACGCGGTTTAAAGATAAACATCAGGTATTATGAAAGAAGCTCGATGTCCATGACAGACTCGTCACAATTTCGGTATCATGTTTTTTCTTTGTCAATGACACCCTATTCCTCCTAAAGCAAACTTGAGAACAATACAACAGCTTTTTTATTACTCGTATAAATGCGTGTAACATCCGATTTTCAAGAGAAGTTTCTTTCCGTGTCGTAGTTGGTTTTAGGATTAGATTACAAAGAAAGAGAGCTTCTGTCTTAAGCGAATCATCTGAACGACGATGGACAGGCAATAGAGGTTACATTTATACAAAATAAGAAAGGGATTACTGACAAGGTGGATCTGGATTGAACTTCACAGACTCCTTCCATATGAGCTCCTTGATATGATCTTCAGTGCATGTTGGCTGATCAAAATCAAAAGTGAATGGCCTTGGACACACCGGCTCCTCGTTGGTGTTGTGAAGCGATGAAAGATATGGGTGACACAGTGCCTCGTCAACTGCAAATCAATGAAAATACTAATAAATATACAAGACTTATGAAGCACGGACACAAACACAGACACGACACTGACACTGACGCGGACACACCTTTTTTCAGAGGTGTGGGTGCTACAGAGAAGATAAGTACCTGTAATGCGTTTGTTTGGATCAAAAATAAGCATCTTTTCTAACAGGTCAAGTGCCTCAGGTAACATGTTTGGGAATCTAGACGAGAATTTTTGCTTCCGGTATTGCTGAAACTGTCTAAAATATCTTCTAGCATTGTCACTTCGGAGAAATCCAAGGCTAGCATCATCGGGCGAACCTATTAACTTTTATGCAGAAGGAAAAAAAAGTGTCACATCTTTTGGCCATTAAATTTACAACTAAACTATAATATGAACTTAAATATGCAGTCATTAACAACATTCAAGACGGAACCTGATATCATTTCAAAGAGAGCTATCATAGCTTCAAACGCAATAATACATCGGTTAGAAACATAGCAATGCTTCGGTCGAAGTTAAAAAAGGGAAACATCAAAACCATACCTCTGTGATAAGCCTTAGTTGATGAACATAGTCTTTGCCAGGAAACAAGGGCTCTCTGGTCATAATTTCACCAAATATGCAACCAACAGACCAAACATCAATCGCAGAAGTGTACTCAGAACAATTGAGGAGCAATTCCGGGGCTCGGTACCATCTCGTGACAACATACTCAGTCATGAAATCGGTTTCAGATGTTGTCCTTGCCAAACCGAAGTCGCCAATTTTAAGGTCACAGTTTGTATTCACTAGTAAATTGCTCGGCTTAAGATCACGGTGCAAAACATTAACCGAGTGCACATATTTCAGCCCGCGTAACAGCTGATATAAGAAGTACTGCAGAGTTTGTGTGAACACTTCATGTTAGAACTTAGCAAATCTAATCAAAAGTTCCTCGGAAAAAAAACAATAGTGAAAACGAAATTATGGTCGAACAAAATCATTAGAAACAAACCTGACAATGTTCTTCACAGAGAGGTTGATCAGAATGAATTATATGATGGAGATTAGTGTCCATCAAATCATAAACAATGTATACATCGTTAAACGCTTCCTTTTTCGGGGGTCGTATAATATCCTTGATGGCAATGATCTGGTGAAAGTAATCTTCAGAAATTTAGTTAAATAATCCCTTAACTAATTCATTTCTAGTTTCATAATTCGCACTTACATTTTGATGATCCATGTGGCGAAGAAGCTTGATTTCGCGCAAAGTCCTTTTCGCATCAACTATATTGTCAAAAGCATTACCAATCTTCTTAATAGCAACTTGTTCATGTGTATCGGAATTAACAGCAGCACTAAAAAGAAACATTGTTCAAGTGACAGTAAAATCATTTCCAACAATCAAAAACAAAACACCGAATTCATGCATTTACCTCGTCCTATGAAAGAAAGAAACTAAAAACGCTTACCAAACGATACCATACGCGCCTCTACCGATAGGACGAATGGGAGGCACGTACTTAGAAGACACCTCAAACAAGTTTCCATACACATTGTAGTGTGCATATTTACCACCATGAGTAAGAACCCTTTTGATTTTAGTGTCCGCAGAAGCCGAAGCAGAAGCAGAAGAGCTTGACTCTTTTGTTGCCATGTTAAAACTTGAACAAAGGGTCTTCACCTTTCAAGAATCAAAGAGAGAGTTTTCATTCAACAAATTTCCATGACTAAATGAAAATCCACCACAGAAAAGGTATATGAAAATACAAAGATACCTTTGTTCTTGGAACAATGTAATGGAAGCTAATGTTGACACATAGAACACAAGAAAGTGGAAAAGAAGCAAATGTAAGATAAGTGTGATTCAAGAAACCTGAAATGGAGTTTTCCAGATCATGAGTATAATACTTGACTATTGATAAGTCTACCTGTAAAAGCTAAAACAGAAACGTGATTTCTAAAAGTGCTTTTGAAGATTTATCACGAGATGCTTGCTTTGTATTCCATAATGGCTAAAACACTTGAGATTTCTAGAAACCATGCTTCTTTCTCTTATTAGGTTGTGTTTTCACCTATAAATTTTCTAACCACGTTTCACTGTGGATTCACAGACTGCATATGAAATGAAACAGTGGTGTGGTTGAAAAGTCAACACGTATTGAAAACTTTATGCATGAAAAAGAGAAAAGGTAATGGATGATAAACTGAACATGAAGGGAAAGAGAGCTTTTCTGTGTACAAACACGTACTATATGTGTTTCATAGTGTGTATATATAAAGTTCTGAAGAGATTTTCTTTCCTCTCTATTTGAAAACAACTCAACTCTTGTTTCTATGTGAAAATGGTTATGTTTTAGTAACTGTGATTATGCATAGTTAGATTGGCTCAACTAGTTTTTGTGCTTGAAATGTGAATGCAGAAATGCAAATTATTTTATTAGTACTATGAAAAGATTATCTCAGGTGTTCAGGATATAGTTAGGTCGGTTTTGAAGGAAAATTTTATCTAATTTGATCCAAATATAACATGACTTGCGGTTAGATTTAGTTTTGAATTGCCGGTTTGAAAATCCGATCTCATCCAATTTCATACAGTTTAATTAGAATCGAATTTTAAATATCCAACTTAAAAATAATAAAAAAGTTTGACATATAATATATTAGAAAGTTATGTCCCAAATTTCTGACCCAGGAATAGTTGTAAACATCTGAGCTTTTGGCACTCATTGTAGAACAAACAAGAGAAAATAAGAGATTGTGGTAGAGCACAGGTTCAACAAAACACTCGGAAATTCAAAATTTTCATTAGATGATAAATACTAATATAGTATTGTGACATGTCGATAAACAACCTCTGCGAGGAAAATGTATAATAAACTTCAACTACAAGAAAATTGTGTTTCAAAAAACTAAATAGAAAACTTAAAAGAAATCATTATAATTTAAGCATCATTTGAACTGGTAGGTGCTCCAAAACCACCAGATCCACGACCAAAGCCAGGCCTTCCACCAGGACCCTGCACAATATAAGACAGATCACTTGAATCAGGAAACTTTCAACAAGAAAACAATGGGAGTAAATCCAGAATAGACACCATTGTATACACAGGAACATATTTCTTCCAAAATTCTACTACGAAAATGCAAATAGCTATGTATGAACATGAAGACTACGCATGGCTATGAAAACAACAAAAGCATCACAACTCAAATCAGATGTAAACTACAATAATCAAAGTACACAATTGTGTTATGGTCAAAAAAATAATTTTGAAAAAGGGCATCCAAGTACATGAGGGGAGGTCACACAACATATCCAAGTAAACTTCAAAACTGCAAGTAAAATAGAAAACTTGACATAGATCACACATAAATTGCAGAGACAAATCAGAAGCTGATAGGATGCTAACATTAGATATTATGTATGTTTGGTTTGACGGAAGTAAAATTAATTTTGACTAACAGTAATTTTAAAGTAAACAAACTTATCTTTGCATATGTTTACGAACAAACTTATCTTTGCATATGTTTACGAACAAACTTATCTTTGCATATGTTTACGAACAAGTGGGATGAAATAATTAATTTAAGTGTTAAATCGTATTTGATGGAAAAAGCTACAATTAAAATCAATGAATCAAAACTCAACTCTAGTTGAGAATTCCCATACACCCCAAAATCATTTGTAAGTCCTCAAAATCACTCATGGCTCTCCTAAAAGTAAGTTCAAACATGAAATAAAACAAGTATTGAAACAATGTGAGTTCCTCCTATTTTACTAGTTTCTGAGACTTTCACTGGTGAATAAACATGCACATAATTGAAAATTTAAAACAACTATACAAAACAGAATCATTTACACATTTACTCCTAATCAAGGCAACAAGACATTCTATATACACAACTTTACATAAGTTGGTTACTAACATCATCTTAGATAGTAAAAAAAAGATACTAAAACAAGCGAACAACAAATCAATAACATGAACTATAGAGTGGCATTGATATACAAAATAAGCTTACCCCAAATGAGGGTCTGTAATCAGCAGGAGCACCTCCCTTGTCTCCTCCAAATTCACCACCAGGTCCTCTAGGACCTCCCCGGTATCCATCTCGGTCACCTCCAAATCTACGTTCCCCTTCAAATCTTGGTGGACCCCTATTCATAAATTAACCAATTTACAATCAACCACTTGATCAAAATTCAAAACCCTAAAAAACACAACACATGGCAAATATTTATGAAGGATAAAATACCTAGGACGATCCCCGGGTGGACCACCGAAAGGTCTCCCAGCTGGCTTAGCCTGTTTCTTCAAAGTAGCAGGGACAATTTCAGAAGGAAGATTTAGGTAAGTTCTGAGAAACTCAATTCCATCATTCGTCAGGAACCAGTAATAATGCATCCATGCAAAAGTTTCCCTGACATATTCCCTTGATTTGAAGCTCTGCATAAGCTTAATCACCTGCAAATTAGGAACATCGATTTCTGGGTGCTTTGCCAAATTGAAATCTTTCTTGGCGTAACATACACCCTCTGAACTCAACAATTCAAGAAAAACAAAATTAAGATCAAATCGAATCACTTAAACTAAGATGATTATGATGATTTGTGTTGAATATACCTTGAAAGAGGTATTTGCAGATTTCTTTGCGGTTCTTCTCTGATATGATCTGAACAAATTAGCATACATGAATATTTTATGGAATGAAGAGAATGATAAAAATGTAGAACGAGTAAGAAGCTGATAACGTACCATGGTGACGAGTGGGTGGAGAGACAACGAAAGAGTGCTCTGCCGCAGTATAAACCCTAAAACGAACTCGCTTGTGTTTTTTCTTGTTATAAATAACACATGTTACATTTTTATGTTTTTTTATATTTGTTTATAATAATGGGCCTAATCTTGGTGATAGTGGGCTCAATAACTTTGGGTTTCTTTTACAAGCCCAACATACTAATTGATGCGTCGGTTGCTCTTTCCATTCTTATGTCTTCTCTTACACAATCATAAAAAGTCACAACTGTCTTTAGTGTTTGGAGATATATTTCTACAAATACATTTTTTACACACATTTTAGCATAAACTATTGAGGCATTCTTATTTTACGAAGTTTTGAGTGTGTCCGAAAAAGCATCTTTCGATAGTGTTTAAATATGTATCTTCTTAATCTGCATAACACACTATGTTGAAATCTAAATAACTTTTATAAAGATAAAGAGTGGAGGATAATAACAGGTAAAAAGAAAAACACAAAACAAAAATTTTGTATCATTAAAATGCTACAGCTTATTTATCAATTCAAAGTTATGTTAGGTTGATTTCTAATTTATAACTTCAGCAAATTAGCGTGATCGAAAAATGTTCATCCCTTAGAGAATAAATCACGTCGTTTTAAAATACTTTTTGTCAGACCACAAGCTTTTATCAACTAGCAATATTTAACAATAAAAGAGCTCCAAATGCATAAAGTACAATGGCAACTAAATTATAACCTGCAACAAAGGTAACGTAGGTTCATACAATAAAATATTGTGTTTTGTATACTACAGAGATACATCTTCGGACACATCTAAAATTTCTCAAATAAAGGTGTCTCGCTTGCAACGCCTTTGTTAGTATGATTTTAGGTGCGTCCAAAGATGCATCTCCGGACACATGAAGGGTATTTTCGAATTTTCAAGGATGTGAGATGCACACATAAAGGTTGAAAAAGCAACCCCCTTTATAAGTGGTTGATTTTTTAACATAAAATTTCAAGGGAATTGCTCTTTCCACCCTTAAGAGTATATCCCACACTTCTGGAAACTCGAAAATGCTCTTCATGCGTTCAGAGATGCATCTTCAGATGCACCCAAAATCATATTAGTCTTCACTTTTTAGAAATTCACGCCATTTTGAACAAAATATGGTTCGAAGATGCATCTCTGTATATTATTTAGGTGTATCCGATGATGCATCTCTGAAATGTTCCATAAAGACCTTTAAAAGGTATTGGAAGTGTGTTAATTGTAAGGGGTTTTTTTTGGAGATGTATCTCAGGAAACCCCCTGAATCATTTTAGACCAGCATCATTGTCACAATATTGTAACTTTTTTAGACCAAGCTATATTAAAGTAAATAAGTTATGTTAAAGTGAAATGAGAGTAAAAATTCGTACATTAATTAAAGTAAATCCAAAAAAGTGAAGATCACACATCATTTGTCCAAAAATACAAAAAAAAAACAATACATTCAAACATAAACTATTGGGTTGTCTAACCCCTTGCCTTTTCCTTCGCCTGAACTGCACAACATTACGTAACTCAAAAATCATGCTCTCCACGATGGTCAATTGGGGACCGTCATCCTAAAAGAGTCATGACTATATGTGTGCTCTACCCATCTCCACAACATGCCAACAGACTGCTGACACGTCCTCGATATGGTCATCCCTAGCCTTAAGTATCTTCTGATTAGTTGGTTTAGGTGGTCTTCCAAGAGCGTTTGGTGTCATGACATGGTGTGAAACCTTATAGAACCATGTCATGTATCTGTTTGCAACGATATAATATACAAGAGTTAGCATCTTACGATACTCTTATGGTACTAACTCTCAAAATCGTCAAGTATCACATCGAGATCTTTGCGACGGACGGTGGGAGGAGCGCACTCATAAGGGGTCTCAGAATAATCTGCAAATTGCCAAATTGGTGCATCACTCGCTCGGAAAGATAAGGATACATAAAAGATTATCCACATGTAGTCATCTGAAGTATAAGGAAATAAGGTCCAACAGATGCGTCTCGTGGTGAACCTCGTATGAGCAGAATGTGGTGTTATCTATTAAATGACGGTCAAGATACAATCTTAATGGTTCGATCACATTATTTCCCCTGTACGGAAGAAATGCGGCAGCACGTGGCCAATCCTCATTATAGGCAGGCACGACTTCCCACCCAGTGATGTGAGGGAAGTGGGAAATGATCCATCCTTAAAAATGATTTAGATATAATATTAATGACAAGTGTAATAAATAAATTATAAAAATAGCAGTAGCAATAAATTACCGTAAGCAGGATGCAACACCCTATCATCTACTTTGTCTTCCAAAGGCAACCCTCACCCAGCTTCGAGTACAGGTAGACCAAGCAGGTGGCTCCCCAATTGTACTCATGAATCGCAATCAAGTCGATGAACTACTAAAGGTATACCATATCGACGTAGGTTGCATTTTTGTCTAAAAAATGGAAGTGTCAACCAAGAACAAGAGGTAACACCTATATGCACAAGTTTGATGATAGCCAACCTACATATCATCACCTTTGGCATCCACAACCTACTATAGATGGTTTTTATAAAGCTTTTCCAAAAAACTAAATTTTACATGAGCACCTCTTAGGTCAGATGCCTCCATTGAGGCCTTAGCTGGGTCAGCCCCCAAATGGGTGACCAACATCTCAACAACTTCCTATTTACTGATCCTTTTGCAGCCTAATAATTTCCCCTTATGGAAAGATGCAGGTGGCATGAGACGTCATCCAAGGTGATTGTCATCTCGTTCATAAGAATGTAGAAAGCCAACGTATATGAATGTCACCTCTCTGCAAAAGTCGTTTGCATGTTGTGGTTTATGGTCATGTACGTAGCAGAAGATAAATAGGCAAGATTGGAATAACGGATAATATCAACAAACCAAGGAGTTGTGGGTTGTGGAAACTCTAATATCTTCCCATTGTGGTTTATCAATTTTAAACGTGCACGCTCCTGTAAAAAGAAAAAGTCACCATTAGTATCAATTTAATTAGTTGAAAATATATGTATTGCAAAAGAAAATAAATATACCTTTCCTTCTCAGACATGTTTAGCAGCATGGTCTGCATAGAGATGAAGTAATGAGGTGTCAAATGGGCCTCACAGATAACTTTATAAAGGGGAATCGATAGTGGGTTCCTCTTAGGCTTCAGGGACTTCAAGTTTTGTTGCATCATTTGGTAACTCATGGTTGTGGAACCTTGTTTTGCACGTGACATGCTTTTAAATAAGGACATCAACTTTTCATGATGACAACTAAAGTATTATGATAAGTAAAGCATGAATGGTTAAACAGATAAAGATGCGAACTTATCTTTAGGGTTTGATAAACTTGACTATCTGATTATGGCAAATCAAGAATGCAACTAAAGTCACATATCAAGTCAGTTAAGCATGTGTCAAGAGTAATATCCGACAAAGTCTTGAAGCAATATGGCGATCTCCTAACTTATAATGGTGATCTCTTATTTTAGTGATGAGTTAACGATTGTAAGATAAAATGGCTTTATCGTAAAAGCATATGGCTAAAGCACACACAATAAATTATTTTCAAAATACTTTACTAAAACAAAATATTTTGAAAAACGTGTGGAAGTTATGACAAATGAACTAGGAGCGGTCAAAATAGCTATAGGCGAAGTTTTTACCTTTCTAATAGATTAAAACATTTATCCAATTTATTAGAAATGTTCAAACTTAAGGCCCAAGCTATTTTGAAGGCGCGTTGATTTTGTGCAATAACTTGAAACATTAAACTTCATTTTTTATAACTTACAAATGATTATTTACATCTTCTAGTCGATTAGACATAGTTGTTAATCGATTAGATTGTTACAAAATGTATTTAATAAAATTTTCTTTTTGAGCCAACCTCGGGCCTATAAATAGAGGTTCTATTTTTTGTTTCCAACAATCAAGAATTGTGTTTTGATACTTTCATCTATCACTCTCACTCTCTAAACATTTATTTAACTTTCTCTCGCTATGATTTTAGCCTAAGTGCTTTCGTGAGAAAAGTTTTTTTGTGAGTGTGATTTTTTTTTGTAATTCTAAAATGGGTAGAATTGTAAAATTCAACAATGAAACCTTTTATGTATACCTTGGTTGTATACTGTCCAATTAAGCATTTGTTTGCGTTAAAACTAAACCCGTAAAAAGCTTTTGTTTGGGATTGACACTACTACAAATTATACATTTAATGACAAAACTTTCACCTCATCCAACAAAAAACCAAGGTATAATGCTAAGTCGCGTCATATTTTATTTTATTTTTTAAAAATAAATACCACATATTTCCTCGGTTTCTGAATATAACCGAGGGGGAAATAATTTAGGATATGCTTCGAATCTCAACAAATAAAATTTATATTTTTATTTCTTTAAAAATAGTGTCTTTCTTTTTATTTTTTTAAAATTTAAATTAATGATTTATTCCTTCAAATTTCTTTAATAACCGAGGGAATAGATAATCAAATTCTACTATAAAAGCACTCACTAATTAGATTTTGTCATAAATCTAACTTATATGTAGTTTCTCCAAACTTGCATCATTCTTTGGGATGCATTGCAAGTAAGAAAAAATTTTCAATGTTCTTCTATCTTGAACATAACATTTTTCTGATTTTGCAATTTATCTCACATAATGGTGTTGAAGTTGTTGTTGTATTTTTTGAATAACCTTCCTATGTTATCAATCAAAGAAAATACTTCATAATTTATTACTTTCCTCGGTTGACAATATTGAAAAATATATTCCTAAACATTTGTCATAAAAATATTTGCTCAAGATAATGAAATCTTTGAAAAATCTCTGAGATGGATTGCAAGTGCAGAAAAAAAATCTCATGGTTGAAACAAATAACTTATGAAAATTAGATGCATGCAATCCATACAACTTAAAAAGAATGCGCACAAAGGGTATTCAGCAAAATTTGGATAACAACAAAAATTTGTTGTTCTCCAGG